AATTTTTTTTGGTAACTAGAGAAGAAAACATTTGTGGTAGGACTGATAGACTTTTTCAGCAGAAAATATATCAGGGTGGTAGAGAAAGAAGACCAGAAAGGGGTTGTGGAACTTAGTCTTAATTTTCTTTTTACCATGTGCTTCTATGAAAATATTGGAGGTACAAGTGTAAATATGGTGGTTCACTTGAAACACTCTAAAAGAGAAATGCTATTCTTTTTATTTTTTTTCCTATATAAAATGATAGGCCAGGAGACATAGTTTAAAGTCAGTTTAAAATAGTCATATATCTTCTTTTTTAATAATTGCAGTATGAGCCATTGTATGACTCAAATGTCATTAATGTTATTTTAAAATCCCCTATGGTTGGATATTTGGGTTGTTTCTACCTTTGTTTGGCTGGAATAAAATCCTAAAAGGTGACGTTGTTAGGTCAGAGTGTTGGCAGACAGTATAATTAAACATAAATATTCATCTTTCATCCTCAAGGTCTATAAGACTCAGATGACTGCTCTGTCCCTGGTCCCTGGGCCTCACTGTACCCTGAACAGTTGAGTGTTGTCACTTTGTATACCTGTTCCTTTTTAGGCTTTGGACCACCTTCCTCTCACAGTTTCTGCAACCTGACCCTTGGTTACCTAGTAGTTTTATCTGGTGCCTTTTATCTAGCGCTCTTGCCTAATGATGATTGTTACCAAGATCATTCATTTAATTTGGGGGTTGTGAAATGGTGTTATCTAATTGTACTATTTGGTTTCTAACAGATTTTTTATAATATAGCAACATACAAACAGGAAGTCCTTACCAGAATCAATAATTCAATACCATAAAAATTTCAAGTCTAAAAAACAAAGAAATAGCTGTGAGAGAGCAAGATTCTTATTTTAGTAATTCTTTATAGTCTACAATTTATTGCACATTGGGAAAGAAGGAAAAGGAAACTAATTCTATAATCTGATTTTTATGTAAAATTTTTATTTTACAATACAAAGAATCAAAGCCATATAAAAGCAAAAACAGAATAATTTATTAGAAACCATCTTTTCTTGAACAAAAATAGAAATAAAACTTCAATGAGTCATTTCCTTCAGTGTTTTATGTCTTTTCAAAAATACCATTGGTGATTGACAACCTAGGAAAAGGCACAACCTTGCTTTTGTGACAACCTTCACTATTCTGTGGTACAAATAGCAAGAAGGTAATTTGGGAACAAAATAAAAAAAAATAAATATAGCAATCTTAACAGTAATGAGATCTAATAAAAGAAAACATGCCAAAAATTTTACAAATATGAAGTTTCCACATTTGTATGTTAGATGTGATAGTATCAGTGTTGATAACAGTGAAAGTATAGCTTAGAACTAACTGAGGTCTTGAGGGAAACTTGATACAAAGAGACAAACTGGGAAGTCCCAGTGTTTTCTTCCTCTGAGTCAGCATGATAAAGACTATCCACTGAGGGCATTTTCCCAGCCCTGTTCAGGCAGCACAATGCGTTCTGTGTATGCTAGAGAACCTGCAGTCCAGTCTGTATAAATGACTTTTGTAATGAGCTAGATGTATTGGGCTTGATTTCTTCACTGATTCGGAATGAATATACCTTTCCACTGTTTTTCCTCAAAACATTCCTTCATCGTTCCACTCCAGTGCGCTGCTTGCCCACGAATGCTCACCTGGCAAAGGGATGTTAAAATACGTGACTTACAGATTTCCGATTATAAAGGGAGACGAGCCTGACGTCCTTTTGTTCCTTTCCATAGCTGCAAATAACATGAGTGTTTTGAACTAGTTCAAAGTAAATTACATTTATAAACTAATAAGCATAAAGAGCAAGCAATCACTGAATTCTGTAATTTCCTTTTGAAACTAAAGGTTTACTTGTTTGAATGTCCTATTTTAAAGATTCTAACAGCCAGTCCATAGACAGCATTTAAATAAATGCAGCCGTAAGTTCAATGAATAAATAATTGGTCTGTGTACTAGAATATGAACACAGGTCAACTTACCAATTTGTTAAACACCAGTTCAATTAGGTAATAAACGCATGTAGTTACGAAAGTAACACTGCTAGAATAGCTAAAGAAAAAATCTTTTTGGCTGTCTTTCCTATAGGAGAAGCAACTGTCAAATAGAGGTGAAGCAAAGCAGTAGGTTAAGAATCGTTACCCAGAGCTGGCACATTCGCGTTGGGAAAGGGGGTGGGAGAGCTTCACTAACCACATGTAATACTGCATTATTCATGAAACTGATCTTTGAATTTAATTGGACCTAGAGCATAAAACCCCAGGCAATCAGGAGAGAAAAATGGTCTCTGTATGTTTAGGCCATGTTTATTCTACTGAGGAATATTTGTCCTACTAAGGACCACTAGTCTTTAGTTAAAATAAGCAAATAGAAACCCACTAAGGTATGAAATCCTTAAAAGACTCAGTCCCATTGAATAGCACGTAGTTAATATCCTGGAAATGTTTGTGGATTGACTATAAATAAAATAAGTGCAAAACAGTTTGTGATGAAATAAAAGGAAAATATGCTATTCATTTATTTTTAAAATTTAGAACAGGTGGCATAAATCTGTATTCAAGGAAAATAGCCCTATAACAAATATTGGGTCCCCCTGAGGAAGAGAGACAGAGCAGGAAAATGTTAAGAGATATGTGAGAGGAGAGAGACAGCCTTACAGAGGCAGGCGCAAGAAGGCCGACTCAGAGAGGGACAACATCAAAGGGAGGAGGTACAATAGAGGAAGAGAGTCACCGGAAGACAGAGACACCCAAAGGGAAACAAGGACCCAGCGGGGAAGAAGTTGGTGAGGAGAGAGAGGCCACGGAGATGGGGCGGCACCAGGGCTGGGAGGTGAGCTGATGTTTCCTGGGCTCACTCTCCTTGGAAGACGCACGTCCTCACAAGCAGTTTTGAATAGTCCTTTATGTGCTTGAAAAAGAGCATTTCTGCTTTATTTTCATTCTTTAAAGTTTGTTTCTGAAATAAAGGTTTATATTTCCAAAAAGTTGTAAAGATATTGATCCTATCTGAAAGCGTTTTTGTTTCAGAGGATGATTTTTTTTTTTTTAATTTAGAGATTAGGGGTTTGTTTTTTTTTCTCATGCAAAACCTACCTAATCATTTTGTGTTCTGAAATTGCAGCTGTCATATTCCACAGTTTAAAATGAGCATTTATACTCTAACTGGGAGGGCCAGCGGTCTGGAGCGTTGTCCCATTGACCAGAAGGCTGGGGGTCTGATTCCTGGTCAGGGCACATATGTGGGTTGCATTTCGATCCCCCGTTGGGGCATGTAAGAAAAGGCAACCAATTGATGTTTCTCTCTCTCTCCCCCTCTTCTCTCTCTAAAATCAATGAATATATTAAAAAAGGAAACAAGCATTTATTTCGTTATGAGGAGATTTAAAAAGATAAATCTCCAGTTTTCATTTGGTTTGTTTGCATTTTAACTGGAAAAATAGGTATGTAGAATAAAGGACATATAGAAAACCAGATGAATTTAAATAGGATATAATGTTTAATTGGATACAATCTTGAAATTAGAAAGCAGACAGCTCTGGCTGGTGTGGCTCAGTTGGTTGGAGCATTGTCCCATAACCCCAAAGGTTGTGGGTTCAATTCCCAGTCAGGGCACATGCCTAGATTGAGGGTTCCATCCAGGGTCAGGGTGCACACTAGAGGTCAGATCGATGTTTCTCTTCCTCTCTCCCTTCCTCTCTCCCTAAAATCAATAGGCATGCCCTTCGGTGAGGAGAAAAAAACAAACTAGGAAGCAGACATACTCTCAAAAATTCTTTCTATTCCTTATAGTAAACAAAGAAAAATATCCCTTAATCTTCTATCCCAGAAAGTAGAGGGTTAGGTATCATTTGAGAGAAGTGTTTTGTTTTTGTTTTTAATTATCATAGAATGCCAATGTTGTATTTTACTAGATTAAAAATATGCTTTTAAACAATTTTCTTTCGAAACTGAAAGTTTCTAGCTCCATCAGGGCCCTAATTTACCTGATTCCCTTTTCTCCAGGCTCCCTAGGACAAGAAGGAATGCACTTATGGGGTCCGCAGAGGTGCTCTTGCCATTTATTTATCCCTTCAATGACTGCATGGGTCCCTCGGACTCAGTCTGCTCCCTGTAAGGTGATTTCCCATGCACTCATCCACTGCTAGCTATTATTTTTGGTATTTACCCAGAGGTGTGCACAAAGTACTTTGCTAGACTGGGTTTCTTTTGCCAGAGGGGAAGTTCCCGTGTGTGGTTTTTGGTGTTCTTTTCAAAGTCAATAAATGACCCATTAAGAAATGATGGGAGATGATGTGTGGCAGTTATGCCCGCAGGCTGCTGAAGCCCACAGAAAAGGGAAGTTCATCACACTATTGCGAGTGGCTGTAGGTTTGGTTTCTCTGAGGCTGGAAAGGTTGGTGACTGCTCAGTGTTGGTCCTGAGGTTACCTGGATAAGCAGTCTCCTGGCACTGACCTAAGCTAAGGTTTTATCCTCAGTGCGAGGCCAGTCTGCTTCTATTTGCTTGTGGGTAGACTGCTATGAATCTGTAAAAGGTGGGGCATTTGGGTGGTGACAGTGGTGAGCACATTTTACAGGTTATTTTGTTGTTGTTTTCCTGACCCTATTTATAGCAACAGATCATTGGTGCTAAAGCCACCATTGCCACCGGAAAATCATCCAGATAACCAGAGTAGCTTGAGCACTGGACTGAAGATGGCTTTCATACACAGCTGTGGATTCACTGGGGGCAATGCTGGATTCTGGAATTCTCAGTTCCACCCTTCCGTTGGCCCAAGGGCATGGCCCCAGAGGATCCCTGTGTGTTTGCCTGTCTTGTTTCTTAAGATTACTTTCAGGTGGGGAATTATGTACAGAAGCTATACTTTCCCATATTAATATTTTTCTCCTGAGCTTTTCAAAAAATTCTGGGGAAAGTTGGGGGTGCTGAAGACCAAGCCCCTTCAAGGTAGCATCACCAAACACAAGTTCATACTTACTCTAGACGGTCTTGCTGTTGGGCAGGGATGTGCTGAATAACTTCATAAATCGTAAAGTGCAAATCTTGTCCTGCTACACCGTCAGAGGCTGGAACAGACCTACTGGGCATCTAGAAAATGTAACACATTAAAAGAAACTTATCAGACTAGTAAATAGTATTTCCACTATTCTGCACAGTTGAAAACAACTGGAAATAGTTGGGTTGAGAATTAGAACTGTTTATCTTCCCTACAATGCCCACTTTCTCTTTGCTACAGTTCCTGCTCTTACCCTGTGGTGTTTAGTGTAGCAGCATAGCTATGGGTCAGAAGAGGAGTATTTGACAAAGCAACCAATTTTTTCTTCATTTAAGAAAAGAGTTGGCAGTACTATAAAGGAAATACAATAGAAAGAAAAAATGGTGAAAGAGAAGATATCAGGACAGTTTACAATCAGAGAGCATATGTTCTTGTCTTGCCTTTTTACACCATTTGCCAATTATGTGTGCAAGGATGGTTGAAAAGAAAGACAAAAGCCCTCATCATACTGCAAGTTAGTAAAGTCAGGACCAAGAAGTATAGAACACAGTAAGGGAGATATTTTGATGTGAATGTAGTAATGGGATCTAAAAACTAAAGTCTTAGAAAAATGTGGAAAGTACAGGAGTGTATTTCTGTGTGGTAAAAACCAACATGCATTTTAGTGAACCTGGAATTCATGTTTTGTTAACTGTTATTTCTTGTATTTAATAGTTTTCCTGTAAACACTGCCTTCCAATTATTTAGCTAAAGTCTGGTTCCCCTCCTTATCCTGAACTCCTATTTTTATCATATTTCTGATCACTTTCTATCCTTTATGTAGCTCCATCTAGAGGACTCTGTGCCTTTGATAAAGCATCTGAAAGTGCTTTATCTCATCCCAGTTTGGCTTCCTAAGTAATACCGGAACACCTTAGCTTTATGTTTTTCTGGAAGCTACTTGTTTTCGTTCTGCTTGCTAAAGCTGCCATGGGCAGCCCTAGAAGATGTGGTTTGTCCTATTATTTTTGTGTCAGGGAGATTTTGGTTTACAGTTTGTACTTGAGATCAACTCTTGATTTTTTTTTTTGTGGGGTGGAGGTGTTCAGGGACTGTGATAAAAGCAATCTATAGATGATAACTAACTTACCTAACCTAATATTAGAGCTGTCAACAAGTAATGAATTTGTTCATTTCATGCTATTGTTTTCTGTCCAACTTCTGAAAGAGGTGCTAGGTGGACAGTGAAATGTATAGCAAGTAGAGAGAGGAGGAGTATGCCATCTGTACCACAACCAGGTGGCAGATGATTCTGATTTTTTAAAACTCCAAAACTTCATAGTTTATTTTATTTCCCTTCTTTACTTCAATTTTCAGATCTTGGTTTTATTATTATTTCTCCTTTTCTTCTCTAAGACATTGCATTTGCTGCTTATCGTCACACGTAATTGCCATTCTGGCTCCCTCTCACACAGATCCTCCTACATATGTTCCAGTCCTCATCCTTCTCATCCTCCTCCTGAGGTTGTTGGTGTTGATTTCTCACTTCTTCCCAAAGCACCTGGCACCAGTGAAAATGCAGCCCCCGCCGATTCCTTAGGAGTTTTCAGCTTTGAAGATGGGCATAGCTCCAAATTAAGTTATTCTACTTATGACAAAAATAAGCCAGGCTTTTGATATGTAATCAAAACACTCATTTCTCTTCCTCTTGTTTTTTAAAGAAATTGTTTATGCTATTACAGTTGTCCCAATTTCCCCCCTTTTCCCCTGTCCCCTAACCTCCCTTTCCATAGTCAATCCCCACACTGTTGTTCGTGTCCATGGGTGATGCATATATGTTCTTTGTCTAATCCCTTCACCTTCTTCCGAGTTCCAACCTTGCACCCCACCTTACAGCTATCAGTTTATTCCTTGTTTCTGTGCCTCTCATTCTATTTTGTTTCTTAGTTTATTTTGTTCCTTAGATTTCAGTTATAAGTGAGATCATATGGTACTCGTCTTTCATTGCCTGGCTTATTTCACTTAGCATAATAGTTGTTGCAAAAGGTAGAAATTCCTCCTTTTTTTCTGCTGCATTCCATTGTATAAATATACCACAGCTTTTTTATCCACTCATGTACTGTTGTCTGCCTCATATTCTTGATGATGTAGCTCTTCCAGCAAATAGAGGTCCTCCCAATAAAATCTTCAAACTGAGTACTTCCTAATCACAAGGCTAAATGTAAAGTTTCTCACATATATCTCACTCTTTTCTAATAAATTCCTAGGAATGAAAAACTGTTCCTGATTTAAAATAAACTGACTTCAAAAACTCAGTTTCAAGTCTTATCAGCTCATCGCTTTTCTGTTCTCCCATTTATTTAAAAGCCACACCTGCGAGGTGTGCTTTCTTCTGCGGCGAGATGCGTTTGAATAACAGATCTACCAAATATTGTTTTTGTCTTGTTGGCTGTAGAAGTGGAGGGTGAGCCTATCCTGCCTGAGAGTGACTGGGGCACTGCAAAGCTTTTGCAATGCAGCCCTGTCCTTCGTCTCTGCCGATGTGGGTGCTGGCGCTACTGACACACCCTTGGGAGGATGAAATCCAACTGGTCCCCCGCCGTTACTCACGTGGCAGTTTTGAAATAAAATCTGTGGCCAGAACACGTACTGGATGGTCCTTACATTGATAGAATTCTCTGAACAAGTAAGGTAACCATCCCTAACAACAAATAGTTTTAAAACACCTAGAAGCAAGAAGGCTGTTTATGGCCCTTCCCTTAAGTGAACTATCATAGAGGAATAAGGAAGCTGAGAAAAGATTGGTTGTGCACAAATCTGAGCTGGAAAGCTCAGAGAAACATTCTGCCTGTCTATAAAAGACCTTGTCTTCGCAGACTGAGAAAAAAAATGGCTTGAACTGTGTTAAAGCTCCCCTCTCACATCTCATGCACCTTTAGGATAAAAATAAAGACGTGTGCCTACATCCTTTGGGTTTACATGGTACCTTTCTTCTGAAGAGCATAAAGTACCTCAGGGATATGATCAGCTGTCTTTGCAATGTCCTCAAGAGCTGTGAGGGGGAAATGAAGGGAAAGCTGAGGAACAGGGAGTTCCGTGAAGTGGCAGGCTGCAGTCATTGAAGTGAGGCAGAGTGACTGAAACCAGAGTCTCCTCACTCCCTCTATATTCAGTTCCCCTGACCTTGTACTTTTTTAGTTCTCTCTTCACTGAGTTTACCAGGCCAGGAGTGTTTGTAAATTAGGAAAATCTCCTTATTTGTGTTAGCCTTATTTATGAAGTCTAAGAAAGATCCGGCAATGTCATTCAGAGTGAGCACACTCTGCTGACGATAATGCAGCCGTTGACCACACTGCCCAAGGGCTTACACGAGCGCTGCTTACACCTCTGGTGAAGCAGAATTCTATTTCCTTGCTAATCAGCCAGTAGGGAAACCAACCCTGGGAACACCAGAAGCATCCGGAAAAGCAACAAATTCATATATGCCGAAGTCATCCAAAGCATCTTCATGGCCTGAAATGGAAAGCAAATACTACTTATAAACCAAATGCCTCAACTTATCACTGTGTTTTTAAGCCTTTGTAAAACTTATCTTTACTGTTCTCTTCAGGTGGTATGTATATAAAGCTAATGTAACATCTCCTAATCCCCTGTATTCATATCACCACTAAACAGTGTTGGAAATCACTCCTTCTGAAGCTGAGAACTGAAACTGAATTGGGACAATTATTCTTAAAGCCTGGTGTGGGAACAGCGTATCATATATTCAAATACACACACGTGGGCTGGCTTGTCCTTTGTAACTGTCAGATACCAGAGATTTACAGCCACCGAGGCTTCAGCCTGGCAGCCACAGCAGCTCTTAATCCGCTCATAATATCTACTGCACCCAGCTAGATCGAACAGAGACTAATGAGAATAAATAAATGACGATAGCTGTCCGTACAGACAAAATATATTGCAATACATTGTCAGGGTCACGAACCTCTTATCTGAAAACCAGCGGGAGTGGGATGGATAGGAGGAACCAGATGGTCTCCCTGGGGCCTTTCCCAGCTCCCACTAGATAAGAGGAAGGAGTCCCGTATTTACCAAGCGCCCAGGCTTCCTATTGGGCACTCCACCCACATCATGTATTCAGTGCTCAAAGCCACCCTGAGGGGAAGTTAGTGTCTTTATTATACAGATGAGGAAGTTGAGGTCAGGAAAAACAATTTTCCCAAGATGACATTGGGGGAGAGTGGTATATATGGGCTAAAACCCAGCTCTGTGAGGCTCCAAGTCCCACTGTTAACTTAGAACAACTCAGTAGGGAGTGAGGGGTGATGGCAGTGAGGAGCATTCCGAGGACAAAAAAGCAGGAAACTGTCAAGCTGCCAGCGTTGTATCTGCCTTCAGAATTAAGAAAGTGAGGGAACCCTGGGCATTTTCAAAATCATAATAAGGTCAATGGAATAGGATTCAGCAGAACTCAGTGATGGTGGGCAAGTGACTTAATCTCTCTGAGCCTTAGTTCTCTTGCCTCTGAAGCGGAGTTGAGTGCCTTTCACTTGAAGAGTGCTCATCTTACAGACTTGGGTGACTTACATAAAACCAATGCAAGGGATAGCACTTTGTAAAGTGAGGCACTATTCAAAGGCAAGGGATTTTTAGTACTCTATCAATATTAGCTTTATGTGGATTCTATTATATCAATATTACATTATATGTAACAATTAATAGCAAAAATATAAATTAATGTACATTACATTGATAATAGCCCCTCTCAGCCTAGCCATTACCTGAAAATGTTCGTGCTTTTCTGTATTCTGTTTCTGGCCTAAAAGACAAATTGGCATTTCTGTCAGTCTTAACAATTGAGGAAAACGCATTAAAGAAAAAATTTATTTTCATAGAAACATGTGCATTACCTGCCTTCTAGCTTCTGTTTTATAACTGAAATCAAGAAAAAGAAACACAGTAAATACTTTTTAGTGCATATATAAAACCATTTAAATTTTTTTTTCTAATTGTAACCTACCTTTGTGGGGTTGATATTTTTTCCATAGGAGAAGAAAACACATGGATATAATCAAAAAGAGTGATATTGCGGTTATGCTTGCTAAAGGGGGCAGTGATTTCCCTTTTTGTGCAAGCTTCTCCAGGCCTAAATGAAAGGACAAACACAGGTTTAATATTTTTATTGAAGATCAATAATAAATTGCTACATTATTTGACTTTTTCATGCCTTATTTTAAATGAGACACCACTGCAAATACATTTAGGAGAGAGAATGTGAATGAGAGATGAAATGAAAGGAATGCACTTATTTTAGAATACACAAGTAAACTCTGAGAACATCCACAGTTGGAAGTAAGTGGTAGGCTGCCCAGGGTAACACTGATGTGTTGTGCTAGATACAACAAATAGCTCACGTCACACTTTTCTCCTCCCCTTCCTCCTCCTCATCCTCCTCCTTCTAATGTCATACCTTTCAGTCGTGTTTGCCATCATTTAACTTAGATCTGTTTGATCTGGTTGTATACCTCATCCCCAGATGCTAGGTTATTCTCTCTCTCCTTCCATTCAGTCTTTTCGTATAACTCAGGTATGTGAACTATCTAGGGAGGTGGTATATAATTAAAGGTGTCAAAGGGGAGGTGTTTATTTTAAATACACTTCACTAATTTTTGACCAATAAATTTCATTCTTAGAATAGAATGTGTGTATGATTGTTAAAGTATTTAAAGTCCCACCTTGTAACTAAAATTTCCTTTGTTTTGCAAGTCATTCCTTTCATCGGTATTCCTGTGTAAACCATAGTGTAATAGCTGAGTGCTTGCTTACAATATGTCAGGCTCTGTTCTAAGAACACATGATACATATTCACCCACGGAACGTTCACAATAATCTTATTAGGGAGCTACTACTATCATCCCCTGTTACAGATGAGGAACCTAACGCTCGCCTTGAGAGATTCAGGTAGTAAGTGGCTGAGTCCAGGGGGATCCCAGGCTTTAGATGCTTTGCGCTGCCTCCCTTGGATGTTATTTTAGCACAACTTATTAACCAGGGCAATGTTAGCACTAGTTCCAGATTATACTATGTTTAATCATAGAGTTACTGTAATCTATAAAGTGGAAAGCAGTTTAACTTCCAACCAATGGGAGTAACAGGTGTCTTTCATTTTGTCGTGGGAATCAGATACTGATGCGGAAATGAATCATGGGAGGTGCCTGTCTCAGTCCAGCTTAATGTGGGAGAGACAGTCATGGCACCTCACTTCTATTCCACGGTGGTGATAACAGCCTGGAGAATGTGGGCGTGGTGAAGACATGGTGGCCACTTGGCTCCGCAATAAATATCCAGCCTGCACTCGGTCACCTTGCACCATAAAACCTCTGCTGAGGGCTCCAGCAGCCAAGATAAGGGGAAGCTTCATCTTTCCCTTCTTTCACTGTGGACCTATATGCACTCTTTCGGCTTTCCACTTAAATGCTGTCTTTCTTCATTTTCTAGAATCTTATTATAATGCAGTGTAGATCATATATGTCAAACTCCATTAAAAAGTCATGGAAATCAGTCTGTCTCCTCTAATTTTCCCATACAATGCTGTTCGCATATTCCTTTAAAGTCTTTAGGAGTTAAGCAGGTTGTTCGTCATTATTAAAAGTTTTTACCATCTCAGATGAAAAATTTGTAAATTGCGTTCCTGATATGCGTTCAGAGAATTGTATTTTTAAAATGTTCTTTTTGTGAGATTGTAATACCTGTGTAACATCTTTGTACAGATTTTACTTTTTAAGTATATTTTATTGATTATGCTGTTACAGTTGTCCCAATTTTTTCCCTTTTGGCCCCCTCCGCCGGGTACCCCCCGCCCCCTAGTATTCCCCTCCACTTAGTTCATGTCCATGGGTCTTTCATGTAAGTATGAGAAATGGCTCCTCCCTTTCTTATACTAGTCTTATCATCCCCCTGTCTATTTTTAAACAGATTTTAAATTAAACTCTTTTTAACTCCAGGTGGAAGAGAGAAATGCAAGGTGGTCTAAAGTGAACTAGAATGGCAATTTATTGGTTCTACATCTAGCCTAGATTGCCACAAAGCTTATGAGAATTGTTTTTCCTCATTTTCTCTTTGTTAATCATTTGTAGGACAGTTTATATTCTCCTGCTGCTAGAAAGCTGACTTTTTAGTTTGAAACGGCTTTGGCACCTGGGTGGCCCTCTGAGAGTCTCAGCCTCACTTCAGGCTTCGTGCTCCTGCTTCCCAGGTTTGTCCTCTCCGAAGGGCTAGACAGCTGTGGGTGGGCCCTTGACTCTGAGGGTCTGGGTTTTCCCCATGAGTAAAACGAGGAGGTTAGAGTGATTCAGTTTTAAGTTCTCTGTTGTTCTGCTGTTATATGATTTGGAGCAGCCACAGAGTTTGGCAAAACGTTTATTAGGTAAATAGGACACTATATCCACTGGCATGCTAATTATTGAGTCTCAAAAAAGTTGTGTGCATGTATATATACACACACATACAAAACTTATAATGTTTACTGATACAAAGGATGTGTAGCACATAATTCAGAAATAATAATAAAAATTTCAATACTCTATTTTTTAATTCCCTATATAGCTAATTGATTCTCACGGGATGCTTTTGTTGGGCTTTATGTATGTATAAAACCAAACGTATCGCAGTGCATTTTTCCCATTTATTTAGGGTAGATGTATCATATTAGTAATAATGAAAATACCAAGAAAAATTAAGGCACCATTTCTAGGTACAGATAAAGAAATAGTCTTAGAGAAGCTAAAGTTTTTGCCACAGTCAGTAAGTCCAAGAGCTGAGATTGGAGCATAGGGTTTTTTTTTTCTTTTTTTATGACTGCAAGTTCAATTTTTTCCTGTTAACCTGTGGTTAAAGAATGGTTCTATAATTGGCAGGTGGAGTCCTATATATTGTTTTCCTTTAACCTTTTCTAACACCAGGCTTGATGTGCTTTAACTCTCTGTGTCTTCTTGATTACCAGACTACCTTCACCAAAATTTAATAACTCCTGACCGCTCAAAAAAGTATTCAATGTGAATTTATTCTAGTCAAGCTCCTGCAATGTACTTTACCCTGAGAAAAACTGCAGAAAAACGTTTTAGTGTAGTCTCTCTTTTTTTTTCCTCTTGTAAACATGCAAGTACGCTAATAGTTATTATCTCAGAGTACTTCTCATTCTTATGGTAAAGTTATACTCTGGTATATGTCAGCTCTTTGCCAGGCTCTTCCAAGATCCTGAGGCCTGGTGGTAGGTTTAACATATAATGACATATAAAGAATGGATATTTTTCACTAGATAAGACACTCTTCACCATTTTTAACTTTTTTTCACCTTTGATATATAGGTCCTAAAATGACCAAATTTGCACATTTGTCCTACAGTGGATCCCTATCATTTCCTTTTCTATTGTTTCTTTGTTTCTACAGACTCCTTCCAATCTCCCTGTTGCCTCTCTTCCCCTTGGCTCCTGTTTGCCCTGCATCAGAGAACCACCTGTGGCAGTGAGCGCCTGTCAGCCCAAATCCGCAGCTGTGGCCGCGGCCTGGCATCCTCCCCCTGGAGATGAGGAGCAGGGCTGATCTTTCTCTCAGAGCAAACGCGCTTTCCCTCTGGGCCGCCTTCTCCTCCAGCACATCCTGGCTCTCTGCTCTTAATACAGCTTCATTCTGTCTCAGGACATACAAGATTTCCCAGGTCCAGCCTTTGAAATTTGCTCCCTTTCACAAAATAAAGTGCCAAATGTGTCAAGGATCAAATCAAGGGGCATAGTTGCTGTAGTCTCAGCTGCAGGCAAGTGCATTCAGGGAGATGTGCTTCCAGAAGTACAACCTGAAAAGAAGGCAGCGGGGAAATTCTGACCCCGCCGCCACAGAGAATGCACAAGGATCCTGAATGCAGCTTGGGACACTTCCAGGAACCCCAGTCTTTCTCTTTTCAGAGATGTTTCTACTTTTCAGGACATAGCATGCCATTCTTCCTCTTATTTAAACATGATTGACTCATTTACCAAAGCCTTAGTGCAAATGCTATTTGCTCCCTCCTTAGGCAAACAAATAAAATGAAATAACATATTAAGTGCAAATATGGGCAAGGGGTGTGGTATCCATGGTATTGCAACCCGGCTGTTTGAGAGGCTGCACCTAAAACAGGATGGCCATATGCTACTAATCGTCATGCCTATTTCTAGATCAGAACAGAGTTCTAAGCTTGCTCCCGTCCAATATGTTTGTTGGTTATGGCAGCTGATTCATATCCCCGCGGAGATGTAGGTGCCATATTGAGAGATGTGCTATTTTCACACTCCACCGTGGCCCCACCTGACAACACAGTTATTCTGTGCTAGATGCTAATGGTGATGTCACCTAAGTTCTCAGGGTCGGGGTGTCAGGGATGTAGTTCTATCTCAGTCATTTTCTCCTGTGGCCCAAAGTGCAATACAGCTCCTGGACATCTTAACCTGAGAAATCTCAGGTGGATGGAAGAAATGAGTACATTTATTTTCCTGCCTTGGGTCATGTTCCTATTCCCTTCTTTTACTTTGTTTATGTTACACAGAAATACATTGATATTAAGTAGGAAAAAAAAGGTGTGCAATAGAAATAAATATTAAAAAGTGATTGATTTCTCAGGATCACATGCAAATTTAAAACATTTGTATTATGTGTAAATCTCAAACTACAGCCATATGGACCTTGGGAACTCTAATAATTTGAATGTCTTGATTAAATGTGGACACTTGAATGCTAATGGCTTGAACTAATTTATATATATAATAAATTATATATGAAATATAAATTTCATTATATATAAATATATCTATAGTATGGCACAATAGTGATTCAGACCACACTAAAACTTGTAAATGGGAATACCTGCATTCCAGGAAGTCCTTAATTTGGGTAATAAAATTATTTATTTTGAAAATAAAGATTCTAATTTATTATCTTAATTTCTATTCTTTCCTTGAAACTTATATTCTAGATATTATTTTAAGTTACAGGTATTTTACAATTTTTCATTAATATGAATGTATATACATGTCATCAACAAACCAGAGTATCTCTTTGTAGATAGCACAAAATTGGTTAAGGTGATGGGAAAATACATTTATCTGTATATGTGACATATCTTTTAGAAAGACCATAGTCTTGTTGATATTCTCAGTTCAAAACAGTTTATATAGTGGTTAAAAACAAGGGCTTTGAATTCAGATATCATTTTATTACTTATAAACGATGTGACCTTAAACATTGCCCTGTGTTCTTTAGAATACGTCCACTGAGATACAGAAAGATCAAGTAATAACTGAAATTAGATGTGAATCATAGCCCACAGTGGTGGAAGGCACCATCTTGTGCACACAAGAAAACAAAGAGCTCATTGTGACATTCTCTAGCCTTCCTCTCTCCAACTGAAAGTCCCCAATAAAACTTTTCATTGTTTCCTGACCTTGCTATTTTCTTCTATATTGGTAACCTCAGAGTCATCTTTGACTCCTCTTTCCTTTGCCTTCTACATCTTCTTGCTGAGACTTTTTGGTTGGCCATATTCTCTGCCTCGTTAAAAATAAAGAGATTCATCTGTTTCTTATAAGTTGATTCCAGTTACACCAAACATAGCTTTGTTCTGAAAATATCTCAAAGGCTGGTAAGATATTCCTCAAAATTATTTCAAATTCTCCACAGCTCTTAATACGGATTGGTCATCAGAGTGGTCAGTGAGTGTTCAATTGATAGTTCAAGTAATGTTCATTTTTCTTACTGTAGGTTGGTGTACACTTACCAGTAATCTGCATTGCAAAGGTACATTCATTTTGGAAAACTTTAAAAAAATAAAAATACTTAACGAAACACATCAATACTACTTGTTTTCTTTGCCATTTGTTGCTGTTTTAATGTTCTGTGGATGTCTGAGGGTTGAATACAGCTCTGAAAACCACAGACGTCACTAATGTTGACAACCCTGAATCCCTCTGAAAAACAAGCACCTGCTCCTCTTATTTACCATAATAACAAATGCCTGGTCTTTGTACAGGTCGAACAGGTTTTTCAGAATTTGCAAACGGCAATTTTTTTTGATATTAAGACCATCGCTGTCTTTGAACCTTAGTAATAAGCCCTTAATCAAATATTGGGGGCTTCTGATCTTATGAAAATATCTTGGCTGAATATTAATGGAGAAAGTTTAGGTAGTGGGAAAGGCAGTATACACCTACATATTATAACCATGTTTTCATTTTCAATAAGCATGAAGAACACTCTAAAATGACATCCAGATTACCGATAAACTATCTTATACACTTAATTATGGCTTGCTTCAAAGTCAGGTTTGGGTCACCCACGGAGGTAAAAAGTGGTCAAGCCTATTGAAAACCTAGTAAAATAGAAAGCAAAGGGATGCACTTTAGCTGCTTACGTGAGTGCTACCCAAATTAGGTCAACAAGCATCTTGTTAGCAGGAATTATTTCTTCAAATGGCATTCTCAATGCCTACCCCAGTATTTGACTCATAATAGGTGCTAAATAATGAATGAATAAGCATATGACTTATAGCACCCTATGTACATACAAGCTGTGTGATCTGTAAGGGAACTATATTATCTACTGCCCAAAAGAAACATAATTCAGGCAAAAATTGTAGAACAGCATTGTCCAATATGGTAGCCACTTGATACATGTGTCTATTTACATTTAAATTACAATTAATAAAGATGCAATAAACTAAAACTTCAGATCCTCAGTTGCATAACCATATTTTAAGTGTTTAAAAGCCAAATGGGACCAGTGGCTGCCATATTGGTTAGTGTAGATATTGAACATTTCCTTCATTGCAGGAAGTTCTACTGGATACTACTCTTCTAGAGAGCATGATATTTCCTTCACATAAAAAACCCCAAATCTCATCATGCCAGTAGATAAATTCCCATATGCTCAGATAGTTTTGCAATTATGAATACCCTCAACTTTAAAGAATCCAGGGTGGACCCCATTCACTATATATTTCTTTATCAATGTGTAGGTTTCTGATAGTCTTATAATACTTAAAAGCTCTTTAAGAGATTTTTATTAAATTCAAAAGGCAATATAGAGAAAAAAAACACAGTAAACAAGTGATTGTCACACATATACTTGCTAAATATTCAGATTCTCAGATCCTAGCTGTAAGTTCCTGATCCAATAGGTCTGAGGTGTCTTAATGAAAATACAGCATTTGATCACCCCGGGTGATTTTGATGTGTATACTAAAATGTAGCCTATGAATTACAAAGATTCTATTCTTGCTTCATTTATTTGGCAAAATGTACTGAATCTCCCTATAAGCATTATTCTAGGCACCAGAGCTATAAGACAGGGAAAGAGAAGACATCGATGGAGAAGGTGTTAATGGTTGTTCCTTTTGCAAATTTGTTCTTCCAATCATCAGCACCCTGAACACCACTGCTGTCCAAACCTGCTTTCAGGTGTTCCCCAAGTGGAACCTGGCTTCTTTGTCTGCAAAGGTAAGCCCAGGAAGGACTTGATAGTAGGAATGGAAGTAATGGTAGTAAAGAAAGAAAGGAAAGGAGAAGGAAGTGGAAGAATTGGAGGTGGAAGAGCAGGATGAAGTGGATGAGTGGGAGAGGGAGAAGGAGAGGGAAAAGACAAGAAAGAAAGAAGAAAGGAGAGAAGAGAATGGGTTTGAGAGACTGGAAGGAAGAAGAACGTATAAACTTGGTGATTGTATGTTGGGCAGGGAAATAGGCAAGAAAAAAGTCTGAGTTGGCATTTATATTTCTGGTTCAGGTTGATACATAGCAAGACCACTCACTTAAACAAGGAATACAGTAGTAATTTGGGGGGAAAGAAAATGATTTAGTTTTGGTGTGCTGGACCCATATGCTGCCTCTGGTACTTCAAAGTGAAGATATCTAGAAGGCAACTGGGTATGCAGTTTTGTAGCTTTAAAGAGGGAGGCTTGGGATGCACCAATGATACATGAGACCATGGGAGTGAATGAAATCATACAAGAGAATAAACTCATAGAAAGAGAGGAGTAGTCTTAGAAGAATAGGAATTTGGCAGATATAAATATTTTAGGCAATGATTCTTAACCTTTTGTGGTTTCATGAACTTTCTGAAAAATCAGATGATTTCTAGAGAATGTCAAATATTACAGACTTAACAAAAGTTTCCAGGATCCCCTTTGAGAACTTCCACAGACTTTGGGTATTTAAATTATGAAAGAGGAAGGGAATCCCATGAAAGACTGTGAGAAGGGGAGGCAAATAGTAGGTAAACCAGATTTCCAGCTCATGGAAATTTATTCATCTGGCTTAATGCAACACTAGCTATAAGACTGCTTCCATTATATTCCTGTTTGTTTGTAAAATCAGGAAAACAAGAATGCATATTTAGAAGTACAGAATTTATTGAATTCTCTTTTTCTTCTCAGTTCCTTGTTAGCAGTTAGATTCCTTCTCTTTTCTGTTTTGGGTTTTCTTTCTTTGACTCACAGAAGCCATGGCTTAGTTAACTCAGGAAAGACAGTTTCCTATAGTATATGGGCAATCCCACAATGATGTTCTCTACCACACAGTTATCAAACAGGGTGGAGCGAGGCCAGCATGCATTTGTTTCACGGGGACCCCTGCCTGTGGTGTCACACTCACCTACAGAAGTGATGATGACGGTGAAATGAGTTTCATCTTGCCTTCCAGTCACATTGTTGTAAGCATAGCACACATAGTCAGTTGTCTTCTGCGCCACTTTCTCAGATGCAACTTCCAAGCGGGGCCCATGCTTAATGACATATGTTGTATTGTCAGTCCTCTGGATCCAGGAGTAGGTGTTGGGAGGATACGAATCAGCAGAACAATCAAACAAGATGGCTTCTCCAATGTCAACAGTAAATACTTCCCCCACTTTTAGGCCTTTGTCAGAATTAACTTGAAGTCCATAAGGTCCATCTGCATTAGTTGAAAAAAACATAAAAGGGTAACATAAATAATCATGACATAGATTATAAATTTGGGAGAGCTTAGCCGCATTTCATTTTCTATGAAATTCTTCATGTTAAACTTGGACAAATAGATCCTCATTTAGGCTCTCAATATATGAAAAGGACCTAAAAATGTTTTATTCTGATATCCATGGAAATAACAATTATTTGAGATGTGATTGAACTTATTTGAAATAATGAAAGCCTTGAACCTTAGCATATACAGTTTATAGACGCTATTGTCATAATCATGATGCTAAGCTTTTAGGCAATATATTGATAAATATGCAATGTTGTTAGACAAATTCAATCTTTCTGAACAGTAATTGGATTTAAAAGCATTTTAAAAATAGATTATGGCCATTATTTTCTCTTTGACAATCACACTTTGAGTATTGTGTTTTTTTCTCAGTGCTAGGCAGAATATGTCATGAAAATACTTATAAAATACACTTTCACATGGAACATGTGAAACAGATATAAGGAGTGTTTCATATGTGCATATTTTCATGACATTTTAACAGTTAACAAATTTTTAAAATTCCTCTCCACAGGCTAAGCCTAGAATTCTTTGGAAAAAATATATCTTTATTATAATTAACAAATATTCATTGATCATTAATAAACTACTTAATCATGGATATCCCATGGTGTTTTCCTCACACTTTGATACTCCTGTAGCATTTTGCTGTTTCTGTAGCATCAGACTGCCTGCAGATGAAGATACATTTCCCACTGCTTTCTTCAGAGAGTAAAGAGAGAGTTTAAAAGAATATTCTCCACTTAGATAGGTTTTTCTCATTCAGTCTAAACCCTGGTTAATATTCCAAATACTTCAAAGTTTAGGCATGAGAGTGCTTGTTTTTCAGCTGACCACACTAGTATTTACTGGATATTTGCCATCTGAAGTCACTTATGTAGACAACCACATTTAATCTTTAAAGCAGTCACATTAAGTAGATATTATTATTCCCATTTTAAGATGAAAGAAGAGATATTTAAAAGATTAATTTTGCCTTGGTCACATAGCTATTATATAACATAGCTGGGACTTTAAAATACATGCATTTAATCATTCATACAGCCTCTCTAAAAAATGTTAAGTGACATAACTTTCTACATCACAATAATTTTTTGCCTAATATTATTAGTTCTACAATAAATTATTGTCTAATTAGATGTCAGTTGTTTACTCAGTTAATCAAGTAATCAGAAGTCATTTAAACTTTTTGGGTCTCATTTTTCTCACCTGTACTATAAAAAGGTTGACTAGATGACTGGCTGTTGAAATTCTTTTCACCTTTGAAACACCATGATTCATGCCTTGCTAAAGCTATTTTGTATACTGGCGAGCCAGCATCAAAGGTGAAGATTCCCAGAGTAGTTCCCTATTAGATCAGCATTTTCCTGGCCAATCTACCACTGGGGAAATAACATTTCTGAGATATAACAGAAACAAAATGCAAAAAATGAATTATATTTAGCTAGGGAACATACACTTTACACGTATTTGCTTCCTAAAGACACACAGGCAACTGAAGGAAACCTGCAGATTAATGTGTATATATGAGACGATCCTGCTTTCAGAAAGCAAACATCGAAGTTTGGAGTAACCAAGAACTGGAAATGGAGCATAAAGTGAAGAGAAGTGAATGTCCCTTTTCTGTGACAGCACTAGAGCCCTGTCATACTGTCATTTCAGGCTGTGAGATGGTCTCAGGGCAAAACTGTGCTTTAGAACTGTGTGCAATTCTAAGGGCCCAGAGCCCAGCAGGGTCCCTTCAAGCTGTCATCAGGGTAGAGCATTGGCGAAATAAAGACCCCCCACTGGCGGGCACTGGTTATGGTTCACACAGTAAAGAGGGAGGGCTCAGCGGAGGTTTGTAACAACAAGGGGCCCAAGCCTGTGCACAAAAACTAAAGTCTGAATGCAGAGCAAGGTAGATAAAGAAGAGAAATATGGTCATAAGATAGAGCCATTCAGTTTAAGCCTCAGCCTTCCCACTGGTTTTCAGGGTTTATAGATAGTGACTATAAAAACAAGTTGCCCGATAATTTAACAAACAAAAATGAGTGATATTTTGTTCCAAGCGTGCTGACATTACTCAAAGCCTTTTTTTTTTTTTTAAATCCTCATTTGGAATAGCCTTAGGACCTTGCAACATAATAGAATATGCTCAAAAACAGTAATTCTTCCATTTTAGGGAAATGGTTTGATTTGTAGAGAAAGCCCACAGTCATTTAGAGAGAAGGCTGGTGAATAAGAATGATCATCTAATTTAATGACACTACTCTAATTTAAAATAAAACATGCTTCTAAACAAAAGAATCTGATTATTTTACCTCATCTTCCCTACACTCATGTTTATTTTGATTTTGCTATTTCCCCATTTGTCCTGTTTCATGATGGCATAATCTTTTGTCCCCTGTCTTAATAACACGCTATATCTGGCTCCTCACAGCCAGCCTCAAACACCGCCAACTCCCCCAGGACCCCGCGCCAGCACTTCTTACAGTCCTTAGGACCTCACACCTGAAGCATTTTAGTTGCTTTCTTCTGATATGATTTCTTAAAATGTAACCTATTTTATTTGATTGTACAAGACATACATGTTCACTGCAGAAAATCCTAAAATTCAGAGAAACACAAAGATGAAAACTCATTTTTAATTTCACCACTCAGAGAATGAATATCCATATTTCACTGTATGATCTTCAAGTCTTTCTTCTATTCTCTCTCTCTCTGTCCCTCCCTCCCTTTCTCTCCCCTCTCTTTACCCTCCCTCTTATATAGATCTACCATCTTTCTATCTTTCGCACTCTACACATTGCTTATAAACTATTTCCTTCTTAATACACTATGATGCTATTTCCTTTTTATTAGCACTTCAGGCTGACCATCCATTTACTTGAGGTGCAGCTTAGTACATTATTCATGGGAACAAGCAATCCAATTGTATACATTTGGAGTAATTCGACCAATGTGGTCTCTGACATTGAAGATGAAAACAGAAGGACAATTCTGACTTTGAACTGTGGTTCAGTTTCTTGCCTTTGGCAATGAACTCCTAATAGAAATGAACCCTTGGCCTCAGGAATGGCTGTTTGCTAAATGACTTGTAAAATCACACATCATCTGCTCTCTTTAACAATTTATGGCTGGGTGGGGACAGTACCTAAATTTTCATCATGATGCTGCTTGCCACCCTGCTTGGGAGCAGATGGTAAGTATTTACTGTGAGTGACCTTTTTTTCCTTTAATTTTTTTTATCACTTTAGAGTACTTCCCTGCAGCAGTGCCATATGCTACACACAAAATGCCATGGTTACTGGGTTATTATTTACAACTGGAGCTGGAAGGCATATACATTTCATGAACTGCAAGGAGGTATTTGTCTGAATTACTGGCTTGACATTGTATTCCACCAGGACAAATACTAGATTATGACATCACATCCTCATAAATATAGGGTCAATTCTGATAGATTTTGTTATACTTTTTTTTCCTGCCAGAATAAAAAATAATTCTTGCTTTCTCGTAGGAAGCTGCCATAGAAACAGTGCCTTAAGAAAACAGAAGTGATTCATGCTGAAATTCTAAATTATGCTGTGGACCTCTATGGGAGAATATTGGAATATGACATTTACTAGATGATTGAGGGAATTTGATAAAGGTCAGAAAAAAACCAACAGTGAAGGACCAAAGCACTTTAGGCTCTTATTGTAATGGGAATGTAGCCACTCTACAGCATTATTTAGTAACACTGGAATCTGAAAGAGATATGAAGAAAGACAATGTGCTCCATTTTAGTCAAGTTCAAGAATGGATTGAGTTCTTAATCTGTGTCAAGTATTGCCGCAGGGATACAAAGATGAATAATGCGGAGCTCCTATTTGGGTTTGGGGCACTGATGAGGTGAAGAAAATCAAGGAAAATGCAGTGAGTGCAGTTAGTGCAAAGGGAGAGGTGTGTACATGGTACTGCACGAGCGCAGTGAACCTCTTAGCAGCATAGAAGAGGTGAAGAGAAAGTTGGGACAGAGAGCCTTTCTGGAGAAGGTGTGAAGGAATAGGATGTAACCCGGAGCATGTAAGCAGGTGAAGAAAGAGAAGCAAGAACAGCATCAACTAAGCACACAGGCCCAGTTTGCATGGAATGTTAAAGATCGCAAACATGTTTATGTCACATCAACAGAAAGGATAAAAGACAAATCTTCAGATTATATAGTTTATTTAATTCTTATAATCCCCAACTGAGAAAACAGAACAAAAGCAAATAATAAAATAGGGCTAAAATAGTAATAGCAAGAAGAATTAATAAATTAACAGGTCTGAGTTGCGTTTCTATTATATGTTACATACAAGTATATTCTATACATGTTTCTAAAGGTAGTATTGCTTAGAATAAACAAGACAATGATATTTGATTTTTGAATGAAATAAAAATATGACTGAATGAGTGAATAAATGCATAAATGAGTAAATGAATATCATTAAGTGGTTTTGACCAAGTGAAGCCTTTTGCATTTGAATGTAAAAATAATTAAGAGTATTAATTAATACTATATTCACAATTACCTCTTAAAAAGAGTAAAAATCTTAAACCATGCAGGTATTCATCTTAGCAATGTGCAACTAGAACCCACATTTGTAAATTTTCTCAATGATCTTCTTTCTACTCTCAATCTATATTCGTGACAGACATTTCTCCGTGAGATTTCCATAGACTATGTCTAAAAGAATGTGAAGAAGAAAGTGCAGGCTGTAAAAGAAGATATATTTGAAAATCTGAACATATTCAAATTGGGATATTTCAATTCTTTCAAATAACACAGGAAAGGAAATATGGTATAACATTTAAAGTATAATATTTAACATTTACAGTTGTGAGTATGGGTTTTCTATCCATTTTTATACTTTCTATACTATGTATCAGCATATTCTGTGATAATAATGAGATTGGGGCATGAACTTGAACATGTTGAAAGAAATATCTTAATTTTTGCTTTTCCAGATTAAAATAAACTATATAGCAAAACAAAAGTGTAAAGATGCAACTAATATTTTCATGTGTCTATAATTGCTTATGCAATTACCCCCAGGAATATTTTATTTAAATCTGTGGCCAGAGTTTAAAGATAGGCAGATAGATGGAGAGATAGATAATATAAGAGAGAATTGATGTAAAAAAAATCTTTTCATATAGAAAAATAAGGTATGTTAAATTAAAAAGTGATAATGTTTAGGGAAGAAAAAAATATTTTTCGAAAGGTATTCTTTCAATTTTCTCTTTTCAGGTATCTTCTAAATTATCCAGGCTTTCTGACAATTATATGGGCATAGTTTTGGCTCAAAGGAAAAAAAAAGAGCTAATGTTATTAAGTTCTTCCTATGTGTTACCGATGTCTTTATACAGAAAATTTCACTTAATCCTCTCCATCCCTCTTACATTAGGGAGATTGTAGATTAGGAGATAGGGAAACTGATGCACAGAAAGAGGCAGAACCAGGTCTTCAACCCAGGCAGTCGGATTTCACAGCTGAGGCTCATAACTTTAGTGCTCTCTACTCACCTCTCCAAATGACAAGATGTCAATTAGAGCATGTGGCCAAAACAAAACACCATCAGGTTTTCTACAGTTAACCAGGAATGATCCAACACAATCTCACTTCCTGTTGCCTATCACTATGTCGAATGATGGCTCGTTGGGATTAATATTCAGTAGTTAGTATCTGGTTGATTTAATACCTTGTTTTGTACTTTGTACCTTTTCTATGTGAATGTAAACAATTTAGACCAAATAATAGAGAATAATGTAAGGATGTATCTACATAGCCCTAGATTTGATTCACTTTGTTTACATTTCTTGCACCTTCAGTAACTTGAATGCTTAGGTGTGTGCTACTTCAATATGAATGGAAGTTTTAATTCATATTGGAATAACCTTATTCAGTGAAGAATATGACCACATAACGAGTAGACTGTACCAAATCTGATTTTTTTCACTCCAATTCAATGCTAGTAGTGCATGTAGTAACAGTTTATATTTTTTATATGAATCTATTTCTCAGCAGATGGGATTTTTAGAACGTTTTCTGAATATAAATTTATGTAAACCTACTATAATAATATTACTAAAACTAAAAGTTTAGCTATAAAAATAGTACCATTGTTAATAATATTATTACACCTAATGATTGTATCAAATCACATAATTTGCTTGCGGTGAATGGTGTTTTGGTATTTCTCGGTGAAAAACTCTAATTTCCTTCTTTGGCACTTTTTAATAAAATTTCTTCTTTTTCTGATCAAAGGATCTGGTTCATCTGTAAGACACTGAATTCTGAGTTTACCAGGCTTAATGCGACCCTCATGGTTCAACCAGCCAACACCTCTATTCTCAGGCCGCAGAGGGGAGAAGGCTCCCTCTGCCATGGCCCATGTTTCTTGTTCATGCTGCTACTGTGGCTATGCTCTATGCTACATGCCAACTGGTAAGGAGACTTTATGGTGGGATAGGCCTTTGGTTCTCAACTAAGGGAGATTTTGTCCCCTCTTTCCCATTCCAGGGAACAAATAGCAACACCCAGAGACATTGTTAGTTGTCACAGCTGGAGGAGGTTGGTACTGGTATGTAGTGGATAGAAGCCAGGATGCTGTTCAACATCCTATAACATCCCATAACAACGAGTCGTTTAGCCCCAAATGTCATGAGTGTGGAGGTTGCTAAACTGTGAAAAGCTAAAATTAGAATGCAATATGTAACATGTTAGAGGTGGTGCTATGGAGTAGAGAGGAGTGGGTTGAAAATATAATAAATAAAGAGAGGGGTCTTGTTTGGGTTGGTGATAATGTTACGACATGAACTGAAGAGTTCATTAACTTAACTCTGTACGAGAGGTTCAATGACAGCAGAAAAAAAGAACCAAAGAAGGTTGACACCTGAAATAATTACTGTTCCCTGGGAAACTGAATACCTTACTGAGGAATAATTAAGCCTTCTCTGACTATGATTCTCCTTACATCCTGACTCCAATAATGGAGCTGAGAAAATGGGCGGAGAGAACAGCCAGCCTGGGAACCTTTTTTTCCCCTTTGGTCAGCCACAGAGCACATGCCTCTCCTAGTCAAGGATGACCAACTTTTCCTCCTTGGGGATGAATAGCTGAGTGCCTTCTATGTAGTTCTGGGTTCTTGAAATTGAAGCTCCTATTTTCCACTGGAAATAAGGTTACACAATGCACTAAGTCACAAAATGTATCCTGAAAGGTCCCTGGCCAGTATCTCAACTTGAATTTCAAGAAATAGGGTAGTGCAAGTAACTATATTCCATGAGAAGACAGTGCCTAGGAAGTGTAAGTACAACAGCACTGCTATAATAGTCTCCATGACTACCCTTGTGAGAACTTCCCAGAGGAAAACTCGTTATTATTATTATTATTTTTGACTTACAGTATATGGTGGGCATAATGATGTCACTTTCCATCTGACTGACGTGATTCTTCACCAGGCAACTGTAATTCCCAATGTCTTCTTTGGTCACTGGAGCAATATGAAGGATGTTGTTTTGGGGAGAAAAAGAGTTGGTGGAGCTGATGTGGACAGGTCTCCTATTTTTTAGCCACTGGTAAACTGGTCGGGTGCCACCTTCCACGAAGCATGTCAGGGTTATGTTTCCTACATACTCCACAGCCCCTGAGGAAGGCTGAATCTGCACCACTGGCTTTGTGACAGGGTCTGCAATATCAAGGAAGAAAGGATTTTTACCACCACAACATTATAATAAAAATCTATGATGGGCATGGACAGTAGGATGGTGATTGCTGGAGGGAGGGGGGATAAGGGGAGTAAATGGTAATGGGACAAACTATATTAAAGATTATATATTTTAAAAAAGTCTATGAGATCTCTCAAATATTCAATCCTGGGGAAATGATTCTACAGTTTTATACTTTGTAACTGTAGACAGTTGGTCAATAATTAAAGAAGAGAATTAAAAAGTTGTGGAAATTCAAAATAATAAAATATAAAAAAATCATTTGCAACAGAAATAACCACATTCAAGAGTTTACTTTTCACGGATTTTATAATGAAAACATCTATAGATAATGCAGTTAGTGGTAGAGATTATCCGCTTCCTTCTTTCCTGTTTGTGTGCTTGCCAACATTGTAAAGGTATACTCTAGCAGACCAAATTAATATGGTTAGTCCCCTCTCTTGATTTGTCCTAAGTCCAAAGAACAGCTTGTAGGGTGGATGTGGTAAATCCAAATTTCTATCTATTATTTGCAAAATATAAAGCTCATTTATATTATCCTTGTGTGGAATTGAGGGAAAGTTTTAGAGAATCATATATGTACCAAGGAAATTTCCTTTTATGTAAACAAACTAATTATATATTTTAATTGCTCTGCAATTGTGTAGCAACATTTCATTTGTCACTTCAACAAACCAACACCCACCTTTCAAAACTGGCTCAATCTGAAAATAGGATGAAATCAAGTTAGAGATACAAAAGGCCAATCCAATAGAAATTCCTGTTGGAACTTCAAGACCTAAGAAAACAGTTTTATGTCATGAGTCTGATACACTGTAGCCACATAATATCTGTCAAATGAGTAAATTTCCAAGAATGAGTATATATTTCTTCCCTGAGTTTTAACTCTACAAGTGTTGGGTAAGTATGGAAATTAGATAAGGACCCACATCATTTTCAGCAACCTTCATTAAACTTTGAGGTTCATGACTTTGTTTGATAAAGGACGGTGGCTTGCCCAGAGCTACACAGCAGTCAGTGGCAAAATGAAGAGGGCATTAAGCCTGGCACTGCTTCTCTCCAGCATTTTGGAGAGACAGGCATTTAATAATCTCCTCCATGTATGACTCACTGAGAGAGTGAGATGATACATAAGTGAGAGATGATTGGCTCCAATATTAAGAATCCAATTTCCTATCAAGCTTTTAACTGGCATTGATGTATCGTAAGTAAATCTGTCTCGACTCAAATGATTTCTTGCACTGGAAAATGTTTACTATGGAACAAACAGACCCAACCCATCAGCACAGAGGACATAGGAAAATATGAAAGATCGGGAGGAGGAAGTTGAAAGGGCAGCCTCCGGGCACCTGAGCAGTTCTGAAGCCTCCAGCCTTTCTCAGGGTGGGTGCAATCGATTGGCCTGTCAGTTTAATTTAATCCTTTATCTCTTCTGGCAAGAACAAAGGATTTGGAATAGCTTTATTCACATTATTATGATTAAAAAAATGAGTTGTGTACATTTATTACATCAAGAAAGTATATGTTTCAAATATGTCTGCGTGTGGAAAAATACGTGGTATGAGTTAAGTCAAATAGGTAACATGTCGTATGGGGAGAATCTGTCCTGAGAATAGACGTTACTATTGTAATCACACTTTGGCCTAAAATAGTGTAACTCCGATGTGAAAGTTTCCTGAGAAGACTTTTTTTGTGCTCCCTAAACCCTTATTAAGGCTTTTTAATTGCATTTCTCGAAACAGATCCAATTTTACTACACATTAACAAGTAATGGATGGTCTATTAAAAGTTTAGGGAGAGAGAGGACACTACGCAGGACAATTTCATGAAAATTCCCTTTAAACTTTTCTCCTTTTCTTTCCCTGACTTTGCTCTTTAGGCATCCGCTTCCGCGTCCTGTGTGTTTGCTCCCCTGCCCGTGTGCTCTCCAGTCCCCACTCACTCCAGAGGTACACGCCGGGTACCTGCTAATGGCCAGCAACAGGTTCAGGCACTGAGGGCAAAGCAGGAAATAATACAAAGTCCCTGCTCTCATGGATCTTATATTCTATGTGGGGAAGAGAAATAATAAGCAAATAAAAATATACAATAATTAAGCCTGTCAGAGAAAGACAAGTGCCACATGATTTCACTCATATATCAAATATAAGGAACAAAACAAAGCAAAAAGCAAAATAAGGACAGAATCACAGAGGGCAGGCTGACAGGTTTTGGGGGGTTGGCCAGCTGGGGCCACAGGGTGGAGGGCTTGAGGAAAAAGAGAAAAAAAAAGAGAAAAAGCTCATGGACACAGACAACAGTGTGGTGACGGGGGCGGGGCGGTGGGGAAGGGAGGAAGGTGTGGAGGGGATCAATGGTGATGGAAGGAGACTTGACTCGGGGTTTGAGCGCACAGTACGGTGTACAGATGATGTGTTACAGAATTGTGCCCCTGGACCCTGTGTCATTTTGTTAACCAGTGCCACTCCAAAATTTCAATAAAAAAATAAAATAATAAAATTTAAAAAAATATACAGGGTATGTTGAGTGGAAATAAGTGCTATGAAAGGAACTTAATATAAATTGTTTGCCCCTCACCCTTATTTGGGAATGAAGTTATACTTTACATAAAGTGGTCAGGAAAGGCTTCACAGAGAGAGTGACATTTTGGCTGAGACCTAAAAGAAACAGGGCAGAAAACCATGCTATTAGTGAGGAGAAAAGCAGTTTAGGTAGAGGGAACAGCAAGTACAAAGATCCTGATGTGTGAATGTCTTTGGCCTGTTCTAGAAAGAACAGAGCGTGGGGAAGGGAGGTAGGAAATGGGGTCACATAGGTATTGGGTATGTTGGGGAAACCAATGCAGACCTTGTTGGGCATTGTTGGTACTTTGACTTTTATTCTGAGTGAGACAGAAGGCTTCGGGAGGGTTTTACACTGCAGGAGGGAGAAGCAAAGGCAGGGAGGCTAGGCGGCAGGCTCCTGGGACAGTCCAGGCCGGAGCTCGTGGGCGTGTGGAGCGGCGGGGTGTGCGGTGTGGTGGGACTCTCTGCTAGTTTGATGGTGAAGCTGACAGGATTAGTCAGGGACTGGATGTGGGACGGGAGAGAAAGGATGATGGTCGCAGCAAGGTTTTGGCCTTAGCAACTGACGGAATGAAGTTGGTATTTATGAAAATTTAGGAGAAATATTGTTAAAAGATGTGTTTAGTGGGGTAGAGGGTGGAGGGATTGAGCAAAAAGGGAAAAGGACTCATGAACATGGACAATGGGATGGTGATTGTAGAGGTGGGGAGGGGAGTATTAGGGGGACAAATGGTAATGGAAAAAATACAATAAAGATAAATTAAAAAGTTAAAAATAAAAAAATGGGTTTAGAGGGAAAAAGGTAAAGTAGGGCTTTGGACATAGTATATTTAAGGTACACCACTTAAATACCTCAATAAGGAAAACAAGTGTCTGAAAGTTAGCTGACCCACCACTCTCCCTCAGAGGACATTTGCCTTCTGTTTTTCCTAAAGCATATATGGCCTTTGAGCAGGTCTCATCCTCCCCAACAAAGTGTGCCAAAATAAAAAGCTTCATGTAACATAACTAGGGCTCTCCCCAGGGTGCATTCTGCTACTGAGAAAATAAAATTTTCTCCATCTTATTATATTATCAACTTTATATTTGATAGCTTCCAGGCAAATAAGTAAGTTCTACTTATTTCTTGATTACCTTCAGTTGGGCTCTGTGCATGTCCTTTACATGCACATCTTATGCAACCCTCTGAAAGCCTCATGAGGTAGATAATGTCATTTGTGCTATGAGACACTGAGACTTTGTGGATTAGTTAATTTGCCCAAGGTTGGAGAGCCAGGACCTAAATCTCAGGTCGTCTAATTGGAGTCATGCCTCACTGCCATGCTACCCAGCTACCCATGTCACTTGCAGTGGACTCACCATCAACAGTGACTTGTATCTTCTCACTAGCGGATAGAGTTCCATTGCCCTGAATGTTGACCTTCACAATGTAATTGCCTTCATCAGTGAACTGCAGCGGGTTGATGAGCAGAGATGCGTTGGGCGGCATCATGGTGAACTTGTGTTGGTATTCCAAGTCGGGAACCACAGACTTGTTCACAGAGCCCAGTAAGTACTTGGGCATCATGTGGTGTCTTTCAAACAGCCATATGATCTGGATGTCTGAGGCTGGAGTGTGGAATCCGTAGTGCACGGGGAGGTAGAGGGCCTGACCCCGGGTGCCATGGACGGTGTGTGATGGCACCACCACCTTCAGCCCCGAGCAAACACCTGTCACAAAGGAGAGGAAAGCAGTAAAAACCCTGAGCCACATTTCACATTCCCAAGAGGCAGTGCAGAGAGAACCTGATCAGACAATAATTCCCTTCACAGAAGAGAGGCTTCTAGGCACTGACCATTCTAGAACCGGTTACCTGTAGAAGTAAATATTTGTCTCTAAAACCTTGTGCATTTCAAAAACTCCACCCAAAGACTGTATTGATTGCGCGACTTCTTTAAGGAAAAGCAGAAGTTACTATTTATGACTGTTAAAAGAGAATGGGAAAAGGAGAACTGGGAAGGATTATTAGTTCTAAAGTACATGGAATCTTTAAAACATTTGAAATTGTGACTATATTAATGTCTCAGACATATCATACCCTAATCCAACTATATGATTTGAGAAGCATGAAGGGGCTGCTTCCTCCCAAGAATTATCTTTCAAAGGCTTCGGAAATGGCTAAATAGTCCATTATTGGTAGTTTTCCCTTTTAGCCTAAGTCTTGCCAAATGCAAATATCCCAAGGAGAGTGATCTTAAATCATTATCAGACATGATCAGTTCTTCCTGCCCAGAGGCAGGAAGCTGGCAGGTGTGTTTGAGAAACAGCAAGAGGCAGGAGTAGATGGACCAGAGAGGGGAAGGAAGAGCGTGGCAAGACATGAGTCAGCAGGTGGCCAGGCTGGACCAGGCCATGTCTCTTAGGGTCACGGAAAACACATTGGCAATTATTCTCTGAGCAAAATGGGGATGCAACTAGAATTTTTTGAGCAGAGAGGGATATGATCTTTCTTTTCTTTCTTTTTTTTTAAAGGTGTACTCTTGTAGTTGTGAGAATAGATAGAAATAAGGGCATGAGAAGGAGTAGGAGGCCACTTAGGAGGTGACTGCAATAAAGTAGGCGAGAGATGATTGTGCTGTAGACCTGCGTGATAGTAAGAGATACTGTGAGAAAAGACTGGTGGCACTAACAGGTTTGATGACACATTGGGGATGGGGTATACGAAACCAGGAAGAGTCAACAGTGATTCCAAGGTAGTTGATCAATTGGAAGAATGGAGTTGTCATTTATTAGTGGAGAACTAATAAATTAATCATTGGGAAGACTGTGGGGAGAACAACTTTTCTGGGGGAAGAGATTTGGAGTCAGTTTTGTACATGTTCATTTTAGATGCCCATTAGACATTCAAGAGGGAATACTGAAAGGGTAGACTAGACATGAAAGCCCGATTAAAGTGAATTGAAGAGGGAATGAGGGTCCTGGAGGGCCTTGGGGCATGGACCTCTGCCCAGTGCACAGCCCTGACTCCTGGCCTCCTAGTTGCCTGGGTTGTTTTGGCCCATGCACCTACTGGTGTGTCGGCAGGTTTCTTTCTAGTTTCTGGCACTTAGAGATCTCCCCATCTTTACCTTGAACCATGACACATTGTTTTATTTTACCTAGCATTTCTATGTATTCAAAATTGATTAGAAAATCTTCCTTAGTTTAGGCTACCATGTTGCTGAAGTCCTAATTAAAATCTCTTTGCTTCAAAGTCCTCATTTTTAGAAGTAGAAATATAGTAGCTACATCATTTGAACATTTGAAATAGTGGAGAAGGAAATGGAAGAAACTTAATGTGAAGTATTTTGAAGAGTATGGGGAAAAAGAAAGAATGGAAAGGAAATCAGAGACAGTGAATATAGACAACACTCCTGGGGAGTTTTGCTGTGAAAGGAACAGAAAAATGTTTGTGGCTGTTGGAATCATGCACTAGAAAGAGAAATCTTGATGGAGCAGAATACAGATGGATGAAGACGGAATAAAATATTGTGAGAAGAGATGGGAATTTGGGCACAAATAAATATCTTAAACTCCGGAAAAGAAGAGTTCGTCCAGCTGGCGCTAGCAGAGCCAAACACTAAACACTGAAACCCACAGTGGGGAAAGAGTTTACTAGGCATGGTACTGTGCAGGAGAACCAGAAACTAATGTTCAAAAGCCTGAACTCCCCAATGACATGTAGGCTACCTATTACATAGGGCAAAAAACACAAGACACAGTGGGTTAGAAGTTCAGGGTCATGTTGGGAGCTGATTGGTAAAAAATCATTTCTTCAGGTCTTGGGGATAGCTTTGAGGTCTGTTTTGGGGTTCCTCTGTCCGGTTCATGGAAAAGGAGCCAGGGGGTCATTTCACCTTCAGGTTCAGGAGCTAAAACACACCTAAGGTCAAGTTACTATCTTTTAGCTTAAAATACCTTTTAACTAATTCTTTGTCAAGTCACCGCCATTGTTTCTGGCTCCCTCAGGCAGGTAATGATTTGTCAGGGAAAGGCTAAGTTTTTCCTGGGCATGCTGTGAAGAAACTGAATAGAGTGTTGAATTCAAAATTACACATTAAATAAGTTTTCACAATTTCAATTTCCTCATATACAAAATGTTTATCTTCTTTAATTGCTCCCCCTTTCATCCGTAACTAGGAAGGGAAACTTTCAGCCTTACCTTGGTCTTGTTATGAAAAGCCATCACTATTAGGAAGGGAAAGGTATAAAGTCCTATTATACAATGATTTCTTTGGAGAAACTGAAAGACTTAGGCCTGCTCCTATGAGGTATCAAGTTCTACCGACAGTAAATTTCCGTCTTTCCTTCCCAGGGTAGAGGGGGAACAAAGATTTCCATGGTTTTGGCCTTTGGCTAGCTGGTAGCAGAGGGTAAGACCCTGGGGCCATCAGGGAAGTTAGACCAAAGAGCTCAGGAGGACAAAGCAAAAAGAGGAAGATCAGAGGAGGTTGGAGAAGGGACTCCTGGTTGCTCAACTGAAACTAACTATATGGACTGAAAGTTAGGTGACTGTGGGAAAAATAAACAAGTGTCTTATGGTCTGTCCTTGCCCTTTATGTGTATTTGTGGTTGACTTGTAAATTTTTTTTTTTTTTTTTGATAATGGGCTGTACCTGCACATTCATCTTAGTGATTTGGTCTGTAACAAAAGAGTTACAAAGGTAGGAGGATTTGCTTCTGTTTTCTTTTGTGGAAAGTGCAAGAATGTTAAATTTGAATCTGTAGAAAAAGGTGGAACTGGTTGCTGGGATTTTAGAGTCAGTAAAGTGGTTTGCAGGAAAGGAGTAATGGTTTCTGTAAGGAAATCATAACAGAGAGAGGAGGATGAGAGAGTAAATCTGAGACTTCAGATGGTAATGCCTGAGACATAAGACGCAGAGGCTGAAAGGAGGGAGCAAGGCTCTCGAAGTCACAGATTTGGGAAAGATACTGGGCATTTGGATGGGAGACCAATACAGGAAAAAATTCATTTCACTATTTGTGTTATCTGCACAAAACAACATACATTTACATGCCTGTCATTGAAATTGGTGCTAGGAAGCTCCTGACAAGTTCCTGGTAAGCAATACTAAAAACTAGTTTTTTAGTACCCATTATTATTAACTTATGTAAAATGTAATTTCCACCATATTTATTGTGTGTTGCTGTCTCCTTTTTATTATTAAAGTGCACATAAAAATATTGAAAAGGTTTCATCATTCACTCCTCATCTTGGACTCCCTTGTCCCACTTCTACCATATAGTCTTAAATCCATCGCTTGTTAATTGCCTTGAAATAACGGATTTCAGGAACCTGTTCTCTAAATTTGTGGAGGAAGACTCCTTGATACTTAAATAAAGTTAAAAATTCACCAAATGTGAGGTCTAAGTAAAGGACACACACTTGGGATAAAAATGGGGCTTGATCGGTTAAGTGACCTTAGTAGTCATTTTTATTATGCAGACCTTAGTTTTTTCCAGTGCAAAAAGATGAGATCTTAGATGAGATCTAAGGCTTTTTTTTTTACTCTTAATGTTTATGTTCTTGACATTCTTTTTTCAGAGTAGCAGGTACCTTACATTTGAAGGTGAAAGGCCCATATTTAATTGAGAGAGGGCACAAAGAATTTTGAAGTATTGAGTCCCAGGTTTTAGTGCACTTAATACATTGCCAATCCTTGGATACTCTTTAATAAAGTGGCAATTCTGTGTTTGTTACCAAGGAATCAAGGGGGATGGTGGGAATCCACATCATTGCCTTGAGAATGCCCTGGAAAAGCCTCATGGCCGCTGACACAGAGCTCAGTAGTTACCTCTTTTAGTGAGCAGTGTGGCCATTGATATATAGGTCCATTTAACACACTTCACGGCTCAACCTAGAAACCACTGTTGACTGAGATGTAGCTCTAGATGGCCTGAATGCAGTTTGGCCAGTCTGTTCTTGTCTTTTACGGAAGTCATTGCAAAAGTCCTTGTTCCCTTTTTTGAAAAGGGTAAGAACTCTTTCTTATCTACATTTTTTTCCTTTTTTTAAAAAAATTTTTTTTTTTGCGGTTGCAGTTGAAAAAAAAGAACTGAGATTGTAATATTCTTGAAATGATTGGAAAACACTTAAGTTCTGTGGAGTGCCAGATTTACAAGACCAGAAATGTTGGTGACTTTTAGATCTTGAATCAGAATGTTGAATCTGAATATGAAAAGACTGGTTAGGGAGTCTGTGACTGGGGTTATGAGAAGCAAATTTTATTTAATAAAATATTACACATGAATATTGCAGCCCAGGTAAAAATGACGCTACTTAAACAGAAAATAACATTTTTATATGGCACTTACAATATTGTTTATGGAGTGTGAACTAGTTCTTTGGACCATTTTAGAAACTACATCACATAATACCTTAAAAAGCATATTGCCATTAATACTTCTGCTTATGTTCAATGCTTATCACATCAATGATATGAAGTCGTGTCATTTGAATTATTTTAAATATATGTACGACAGTGAGAACATGTAGCACAGCTGTGACAAGAACTCTTTCCTTAGGTTGCCTGCACCATTTTTAATCAGAAAAAATATAGGTAGTAAATTATAAGAATGTCATCAAGGAATAACATTTTATTTCAGCCACCTAAAATCTTTTCATTTTCGGGGAAGACATGAATCTATTGACATGAAGCAACCCTTACTTGCAGTGAACTTAGGGGAATGAACAGATAATCAAATGCCTCCTCTACATCGTAGGAACACATACT